ATCAACAATCTGTTTTCTTATTTATTTGCAAAAAAATATTAATTTATTTACCGCCGTTTTTTTCTTAACACACTGTACATAGTGTGACTTACTCATTGAAGAAAAAGAAGAAGGCGGGAAAAATCCACTTTTAGCACCATTAACTTTACATATCTGCCGATACTTTTTATTAAATAATTACATTATCATGGAATATTATAAATTCTGACAATCTCGTCCAATTGATCGGAGGAGCTTATCCAAGTATTTGTCATCTTTGAATTTTGAATTATCACCTCCAAAATTTACGACCGTTTCCATTTATTTTTATAAAATCTGACAAGTGTGATAGGAATGTTTGGTTATAAATTTGCAATTCTATAATTTCATTTTCACATGCAACAATACACCGCGTTTTTTTTGAAATTTGGTTTTTTGGCAGTTTGGCGCAGTTTTAAGGTTAATATTTTGGCAGTTTCTCATATGCCATTCTGCAGAAATTTCTTAGTTCGGCAAGCAACCTTAGCTTATGCATGAGATAAGAGTCTCTCCTTTTTTCCGTAACCTTGACATTCTGTGACTCTCTTCTTCAAATACGTAAGATACTACCTACTTCCAATGTATTCTTTGACTACATTCTCCTCACGAAATTCAGAAGAAAGTTTATAAATATATTTTACGGAATCTTTTTTAAATGCAGGTGTGAAATGATCGAGTACCTTCTCCATATTCCACTGCTATGTCATGCGATATTAATCCTTTTTAACCCACTTCAATCAATCTAATTTCCATTTCTTATTGGTAATTAATTTAAAATTTCCTGATAACAATTGTTACACGATGCTCTTTTTTTTATTCACAAATAATTTAAATCAAATCTGGGCATATGCAACCAAATTGTTCTTAAAAGTTCAATGCCTAATTATTGTACATGCATAATCTGTAGTCTTTGTGAGAAATTCCTTGGTGAAAATTATATGCTTCTGCTTCTATTTTATTCATTCCTTAGATCTAGTGAAAAACCTGGAAGGAAAGTGGTTAAAAATACAGTAAATTTTTAATGATAATTATTTTTATGTCGTATCTACTATTGATGTAGGACGAAACTTTTAACTTTAGTCATTGACGTAACTAAAGTATTTACTAAAGGTAGTTTCTCACAAAGGCCATTTTGACGATTTGACTAAAGTAGAAGCCCTTGACATAAGTAAAACCACTTGATGTAATTAAAAGCACTTGGCGTAAGTAAAACTTGATACCAATAGCAATAATGCCAAATTATGTAAAAATGTGCGTCCTGGGGATAAATAAAGAAAGAATTATTATATCATTATATGTATATTGCAATGATGCAAGAAGAATATTATCATGGGGAGTTTACAAATGTTATCTCTTAAACGGTCAGAGTATTCTTTAATGGTAACGCGAAATGATTTTTTGATCACGATCTTGCATTCTTATTGGCCAATTTAACGATCTGCAAAGTAAAAATAGTCAATCGACCAACTTTTAAAGAAGATTTTACGAAAACCACAAGGACAACAACCAAATTTTTATTCACATATCAAACAGCCGAATCTCAAAGATCATTTTCGTATTAGGAAGTAATACCTTCAGAAAAAGTTTTTTATATCAGAAAAAAATTTTCGGCTATCAATAGCCGAAAAACCGTTTAAGGGATAGTTCGAATTTTACTTGAATTATTTTTTTTCCTTTTCAAAGTAAAAATACCTCTTTCTTTTATTATTACATTTCATAAATCAAATTGTCTTTATGCATATATGAGTTGTGTTAAATTGATGTTTTTTCGAATTTTTGACTTTTGAAGTTAACTACGCGTAATAATGATAGTAATGATATGCTCGAGCTGTCTTTAGTATTTGAGTTTGAAGCAACATATAATAGGTTAATTAATATTGGTACTTAGAACGACCTTTACATAACACATAAGACAGGTTTTGGTACATGTTTTAATTTCGCTTTCTATTTTTATCACTTTTAATTCTTCAATGCTGAAATTCTTTTATTAATAAATCGATCGCTAGAGTTTGGTGATGATGAAGTTGTTCTTTAAATAATGCATTTTCGTTTTTCAATATCAATTAACCCCTGTTAGAGAAAAATTTCTCCGCAAAGAAAAACAGTTATTAAACGAAAACTTGACAGTGAGTTTCGCGAAATACAGTTTGGCGTTATAGTGCGATGATATTTTTGGGCATTATAAAATCACATGGCTCAATCACATACATATATATTCGTTCGAAACATCAAAATTGGCACTGAGTACGAAGTATCCTAACATCCTATCATGTATTCATGATCAATAATGCAATCTTTAATAAAATAGACTATTTCATGGCATTAATCGAGGAGTCTAATAAATTACAACAAAAATATACAAATAGGCCGCTACTCCCACTCGTGGACCAAAAAACGGTGCATCAGTTTTGTCTTTTACGTTGCATTTGAATTCGAAAGCCGAGGAACGTAGTGCCGAAATGGAACCATATACAGTGTGTAACGAAAAAAATTGCCTTCACGAAAACTGAAATAAATTTGAAATAAATAAGGAAATACGTTGTAAATCTCAAAACACATC